GTTTTTGTCTCTTGGAACTTTTATGAGTACATATTCGTATGACATTTTTATCGACATAGTTAATGAATAAACAACGGACTTGTTTACATACTACAAACCAAATTGAAAAACATTGAAGTGCGCGCTAGTGTCGTAATATAGTATAATCCCCATTGACATGATAGTAATAAGTATATTTGTAATATGATCTTGTTTACGTTCAGCTAACTATAGCACTTTGTTATACAATGTTTTGAAGGCCTTACTGTTTTTATACTGATTTTTTTCATGATATTGCAAAAAAACTCAATTCTTGTCCACTTCGCTAGCCTTATATACAGTAACGAACATTTTACTCAACTGCGACCAGGGCCTCAATTCTGCTATTATATGTTTACGCCAAGCCAGTGTCATACCACTGACACGCTATTGAGATGCCATCGAGTAGCCATTGGCATTGGTATAAATATCATTGGCATTGAAATAAATAAATTAAAATAACTTATCAAAAGAAATAAATATAAAAAAATAAAATAAAAAATAAATAAATATATTATTAAAATAAATAAATAAATTAAAATAAATTATTAAAGAATAAAATATAAAAATTATAAAAAAAGAACTAAATAAATTATTAAAATAAATTAAATAAATTATTAAAAAATTAAAATTATAAAAAAGACAAAATTGTATTATTAAAATAAAAATTAAATATTATAATATTAAAATAAATAAATAAAAATAAAAAATCATTACCTCAAAAACGTAATAATATATATTTTCAAATTATAAGGAAATTACTTATTTATTTAATTTTTTTTTTTTTAATTTTAATAAATTATTTCTTTTTTTAATAATTTCATTTTTTTAAGAATTTATTTAATTTATTTATTTATTTTAATAATATATTTATTTATTTTTTATTTTATTTTTTTATATTTATTTCTTTTGATAAGTTATTTTAATTTATTTATTTCTTTTAATAATTTATTATAATAAAAACAAATAAATCATTTCCTCAAAAAACGTAATATATTTTCAACTACCGATATTTATACCGATACCAATGGCTACTCGATGGCATCTCAATAGCGTGTCAGTGGTATGACACTGGCTTGGCGTAATAGCAGAATTGAGGCCCAGGACGATTATGATTTCGAGTGGATATCAATTATATTTTAAGGAATATACGTTGTAATCCTACGGCACGTTCACGTTATAACACTATATATATGTACATCTATTAATGCATTTTAGAACAAAACATACATTTACCTGTGGTATGATAATCCTTTATCTTTATTTACCTTTTTGTCGTAGTTTGTGCACTTTCGGAATACACAGGAAGGCATTTTATGAATTTTCTCGATTTAGTACGCTCGTTCACTCGCAGTGGTCCTAATTAGGACCCTCGCGTTTTGTGCGTTGGTGGCGTATCTACCTCTTGTTTGTATATTATATCATTGATGTATTGTGACGTCTTAATTGTGATAAAACCACTGGGTATTTGATAATATAAAAATAAGATCAACCGATTTGTGTTATAAATTTCAAGTATATATTTTCACACATTCGGAGTGTTTCTAAATGTGCTTGTTGCATCATTGATGTACAAAAATGATAAACATACACATTCGCTGTAGTAGATCAGAAAGCTATATTCAAAAGCACGCAGGTCACTGTTCAATATTGTTAATTGTTCGCACATACTCGTACTAATGTAGTAAATATCTATTGTTTGCGTTAGTTTAGTAAACATAAGTTCTACTTCAATCGGCGAACTGTTGAGAAGTGTTTTATTTTATGGTATTTCCAGTACGAGTAACATACACATTTTTAATCAAATCATATTATATTATCCCTATAAAAATCGATATTTGGATTAGGTATGTAATATTTTTTATGCAACTGCAGCGGATACAAATGCCCCCATTATAAGGGGGTAGCGATCCCTCCCTTTCCCTGATCTTCCGATAGCCTTACTCACTCAATGAAAACCAAAACAGAACCTTGACACCAGTATTCTATGAGACCGTGGTATTACCGTGGTGTAATGTATATTCCTCTGTAAGTGGTAGCGTACGGCCGGTAGACAGAAAGAAGACTAATTTGGTCTTTTGTCTCTCTTTGCTTTCTGCAATGATTGGCTGATCAACAGCCCTTAATAATCCTCTGCTGGACATAAGCCTCTCCTTAGAAAGGAGGTTTTGGCCTACTATACCACGCTGGCCAGACGAGTTGGTATAGGGTTTGTGTCAATTTTTTCTTCTCTCTGCAGTGCTGGTGTTCTGCGTAGTTTTTTCCCTTAGTCGCCTCTTACGACACCCACGGGATGAATAGGGGTGGTGACACTCTGTATTCTTAACCCGTCACCACACAGACAATGAAACAACGTGAAATACATAAATTTTCTTCTTACATGCGGCCAAGCGTAAAACAACTTGGGTGTGTATTTTACCCATCACGCCTGATGCAAGCGGCGCGTGATGCATTAATTCAATACCCACTTATAATAATTTAAATTAGAAACAGTAATTGACGACACGCTCTGACTGCGTGATAGAAAAACCTGTGCTGATGTTATGGACATATTGTTTACTAGGAGACGATAACATTTATTTAAACAATAAGGAAGTGTTATGCGCTGTGTCTGCATTCTTACGTATTAACTTACTCGTTCATTCAAAAACTTGTGAAGAAATTGCACAGAAATACAGTTTTATATGAAGCTTTAACTGACTGCAAATACAGATGACTGCACGGATGGCGTAGTGGTTTAAGCGGTCGCCACGCCGTTTCCTACTGCGCCGAGTGTTGTGGGTTCAAACCCCACATGGGACGACACTTTGTGTGATCCACAAATTGTTGTTCTGAGTCTGGGTGTACTTTGTGTCCGTTTCATGTAGGTTTGTAAAGTTCCCCGCAACACAGGATATACTAACTTTTAAACTTTCGCGTTCCATGATAATTAATATTATTTAACGGGAATTAACGCGATCTCTTATTTAGGGTATTACATACCTCTGGTTTGCCTGACGTTTCGACCAGGTTGCACCGGCCGTGGTCACAGGCTGACTCAATACCCTAAATAAGAGATCGCGTTAATTCCCGTTAAATAATATTAATTAACACAGGATATATTCCTAATGCGGGAGTTGTCTCTTTAAAAAAGAAAGAAGAAAGAAAGAAAGATGTTTTTTTATATAAATACAACTCCCACACTAGGAATGTATCCTGTGTCGCGGGGCATGTGTAATATTCCATACTTACTATACGGCTTATTTTGTATTGTTTATTGTGTTTATTTTTAATGTTACACAGTAAAAATATAACAATAGTCCCTTTATGAAGGTATAGATCGTCATAATCATAGAATACTGAACAACCAACAAGAGAACTCTTCTCCGGGCAAATAATCCTACCGAAACTTAAGAGTGCTGAGCGAGATCGCGCTTATTAGGAATCGTATTCATGAGAAATTAGATCATCATTGAGGTAGGCCAAGACCAGCGGTTGAATTACATTTAAACTAATATTATAAAGCCTAAGAGCCTTTTCAGTTGATTTTTTTATTTAAATTCGATGCCGCTATTCGCTGAAAAAACTAGCTGGAATTCTTAACATTATAGACTTTTGTAAAATCACGCTAGGACCGTTAACCCGTCATCATCATCATCAACAGCCTTTAATAGTCCACTGCTGGACATAGGCCTCTCCTTAGAACGGAGGGAACCCACCTAGGCACAAACTCGAAACTTTGGCAGCCGATGCTTTTTAAGCACCCACTAAGAAAGGATTTTTGGAAAATCCTCCCCCCCCCCCCTTTGTTATATGTGTATATACGTTATGTGGAAGTTGGTCATTTTCAAATTTAGAAACACGAAATAATCCTGCGAGCGAAGCCGCTAGTGTAATAAAAACGACATGTACTCGGCACACACACACCCATCAACAATAAAATTTTTAGGTTACAAGTCAATTAATACAAATAATAAATACTTATTAACTACAAGCATTATTTATATAAGCCATTGTATGATATTCACATAATTAAGCGATGGCGCAGTACATCTACCTAAGTAAACAGTTGACGTATACAATTCATTTACAATTCTTGTTCGATGTTTACAGTACGGTACAAACACAACATTATGGTAATGTAGTACATTTAAAGTAGTACCTTCGGCGGTCTCAATATGAACAATAGCAAACTGCAGTGGAATCAGTTTATAGTGAATCGACATAAGGGCATATTATTTTATACTTGTTTATTTTAAACTAGCTGACCCTGCAAACGTTGTTTTGCTATTTACATTATTTAATTATTTTTTTTTTGGAATTTCTTAAAATCCGTTCTTAGCTGACCTCTACTCGGTGAAAAGAATATTCCTACCAAATTTCAAGTCTTTAGCTCTAATGGTTCCAGAGATATCGTGATGAGTGACTATATACGTGGAAATCTCTTATATATAAATAGATATTGTCACTTTTTAATTGACGTTAAAAAAATAGAACAGCTTCTCAATTCGGTTGTATAGTTTTTAATTTGGGAGGGTATACTTTCCCTTTGGTGTCATTCCCTGAGGGTAGGTGAAAAATTGAAGTATGATGTTCGTGATGTAGGCGCTTTCAAGTTGTTAATAAATCTTTAAAAAGTTAATTATAGCGGACGATAGATCCACTAACAGATTGGATTTATAAACCTGTAATGCCCCCCAGCTATATGCTAGGCGTGTATAGTTTTAATAAATTACTGTATAATTATAGGTTTTTTGGTTGGTAACTTTCACTTAGTGGTCGTGAAATTAGATCGCACACCCTGACCGCGCTGTTCATATGTAATCTTATGGCCAATCCAAAATGTTGTTGCGAAAGTGGACAGAAAATTGTTAGCTGGATCTTGTTTTTGGTAGCTCTTTAATTTTATAATCTAAGCTCAATTAACTACTTATTTGAAAGCACTAATTACACTAACTGTAAATAAACTGCATAAAGTTTACGTAAGTTTCTTCTTGTTATAGGTATGCGAGAAACTGGAGATCGGTGCCGAAGCTGACTACTTCGGCCTCCGAGTGTCTCCAGGATCAGGACCCGGAAGATGGCTTAACTTGCGGAACCCCCTCGATCCCCACCGCATTCCTGGCGGTCGCCTCGACCTCCGCGTCAAGTTTTGGGTACCCCCACATCTGTTGATCAACGAACCAACACGTCACCAGTTCTATTTACACGCTAAACTAGATTTGACTGAAGGCAGATTAGTTGTAGCTGACTTAGAAGTAGCCAGAAGGATTATAGCTTACATAGCGCAGGCTGAAACTGGTGACTTTGACCCAGATCTACCTCCAAAACATATTTACGCAGAATGCGATAAAATTGGTCCACAAGGAGAGCGCCCAGAGGATCATATTGAGAAAATCATTGAATACCATTGCGAGATCACTGGAATGAGGGCTTCTCAGGCTGAATACAGACTACTAAAAGAAATATCTAAGCTGGAATCGTTTGGCGAAGAACTGTTCTTTTGTAAGCCAGTGACACAGATTAATAATGCCCATAATCTCTACAGTCATTTGTTATATCATCGTCAGCAAGCCGAGGAGCCCAGTAGAGGAGCAAGAGACGAACAGGAGATTGACGGAGGTGCGACCGTTGGGTGTCTGACGTCAGGTCAAAGTGCAGGAGGTTGTGGCTGCAGACTAAGTACTTGTGTTGGAGTGAGTCCTCATGGAATTGTAGTTTACAGACCAGCTTGTAACGGAGAACAAGATATTGGCGTTGAAAAGAAAAGGTTGGTCTTTTTATCATTATTTTACTTCAGTCTTTTAGAAGGTTATTCGAAGGTAAAGTTGACGCAAGTCGTAGCCAGAAGATCTTATGTAAAGTTGTTTATCAGATACAAACGGGTCTCCTGATGGTAAGTGACTACCGTTGCCCATGGACACCTGCAACTCGAGAGCTACAAGTGGCTTTTAGCCCCAACAACCCAAAAACTAGGCAGAGCCTGTGCTATGGTAACCAGACTGCTGATGAACATACTTATATATAAATATATGTATACATAGTATGTATGTATTACATACTCGGTGGTGCAGTGATGGCGTATGCGTCTGCTGTGTTCAGGTCTCGGGTTCGATTCCCGGGTCGGACCAAATGCTTGTATGATCTGCAAATATTTGTATCAGAGTTTGGGTGTTTTCTATGTATAATATGTATGTATTTACAAAAAAAAAAAGTATTTTATCAGTCAGTCTAGCTTTCATAGTACAAGCTCTGCTTAGGTTGAATTTACATGGCGTTATGTGTTAGATGTCCAAAAAAGGATATTATATTAAAAATATATATGTATATTTCCAAAAACATACATATCATAAATAAATTACACCCAGACACGGAATAAATCATCGTGCTCATCCACAGATCACCCCCTAATAGATACCGCATTATTGAATATTTGTACTGATTCGAGTTCACAACATTTGGTGGTATGCAAGGGTTGCGGGGGACGTGTCAAATGCGCTGTGATTGGATATTACTTGGAATGCATCGAACCATAGTGATGGGACAGGGTTGGGACGTTGATCGATAAATTAGGTAGGATGATCTGAATTATTGATATTAATTTAATTTTTGATTTGTTGGTTATTGATAAATAAATATATTACTCAATGTTTTCTTGATATTTATTAAAAAAAAAACAATGTTTATAATTTTTTAAATTTATTTGTACATTTAAGTTTTTAAATATATATTTTATTGATTTTTAAAATGGATAAGCTTGGTATAAATGCGTCTCACAGAATTCTTAGGATCTGTCTTCCGAGATAAGTAAAGTAATCTTATGTCTATGTATTTTTCTATGACACTCTTAGCTAAATCAATGACATGATTACAACTTTCGTGATCGAATTGGTGATTTTTTATTTCAGGGAAAATATCCTCATTAATAAAACTGCTTAATGTTTGTGTTACAAAACGGAATTTGTCTTTGTAATATATTTTAGATCCTTGATTTGAATCGATTGAGCTTCGAATGACTTGTTCAGATCGTCTGCAAATTTTGGTGACCATAGTAGACGGGAAGAGCAGTCCTCCTGCATCTCTTGCATAAATCAAACTGGTTTTTTTCTCATCCAGGGATATTAATGCTTTAACGCACGTATTGCATTTAATCTTCTTTATTAAATAATGTACAACAGCGCCAGCGAGATATTCTATGACGCTTTCTGAAAACTGAGATAACGGTATATGCTGTAAGGAATCAATAAAAGTTTCATCAACGCGTTCCTCAGTCTCGCTAGTTTCACCCCTTTCAGTCGTCATATTTATGCGTTTTATAGCTGAAGAGCAGTTTAATATGGCAATATGTTCTAAAGCTACACAATTACCAGTATTAAGTTCTTGCAACTCCATATGTACAAGCATTTTTCTATAAATGCCATAAAACTGTTTTGGTGTTGGGTTGTTATTAGCGCCTCCATGTGATCTCATATTACAGAAAAACAGTTCAATGTGGTCTTGGCTGATACGGTGAAACGATATGTAAGGAACGCGTTGGTTCTTTATTAAATCATTAAACAAAAACTTTGCACTTTCAATACATATACAAAGTCCTAAAAATCCAGTAAATCGTGGCGTATCAATCAATCGCATCTGCTTATTTTTTAAATTAGTTGTCAAATTCGTTAAGACACTTTTGCACATTTCTAGTTTTGATAAGACAACTTGAGAGTTTTCAGCGTTTAATGCCCTTTTTAGTCCATATCCATGTACTTTTGAATCTAAAATGTCAAATAAGTCGTTTAATAGTAATAACATATTAGCTGTTCCATCTATTTCTTGAAACTGGGCTATCTTTAAAGTGTTTTTGCAAAATTGGAGCGCTATTGATACACTCCTGCTAAATAATTGAGTGGCAAGCTTCACTTTCATAATATTTTTTTTAAAAAACAAGTGCTCTGATCGTAGCTTGTTAGCCGCGTGAAACTTCTCATCTTCTTGCAACTGGTGTAACATCTCAATATGATTCCATTTTATATTATTGCCTTCAGCATCTTTGAATTCCCTGTAATGTTCAAAACTATTTCTAACTAATTTTATCATGTGCGCTGGATCGAGAAAGATAGCTATTTCATTATTTTGTACTTTAAAAACAGTTTTTAAATTATTTGGATTTAAATCGCAGCCAAGTTTTTTGGCCATTGCTATATTGGCTGGACAGCCATCGAAGGTGACAGCTTTAACTACCAATCCAGCTTCAAAGCATAATTCAATAGCTTGAGTAAGCAAAAATTTTTTTTGATCAGCTGTCACTTTATTAATAAAAAAATACCCAATAGGCACTTTCCATTTACCGTGTAATGGAACAACTAGAAAAACTAATGCGTCAGTACATTTTTCTCTACAGTCGGAATCCACACTTCCACCGTAATCTACATAACCGTATGTCTTTTCTACTTTCGTCTCGATTTTCATTTCATCGAAGACAATACAGCAATGAATAGGCAGATTTGTCTGTGTTGCCTTAAATTTCAGAGCATCAAAAGCTTCCGTCGTGAAACCTGGACGACCATCTACAGATTTGTACCACTTTCCTAGTGTTTTTACAGAGGGTAAACAAGTATTAAATGTTTTGCGTACATAATTATAAGCTTTAGTTGAGTAAAAATTTAAGGTGAGTGCAAAAGCTCTCAACTGCGGTGAGTATTTTTTTCTAACAATTTTGCCTGATTTTCCTTTCAATATTTGACGACGAATAATTTCACTACATTTGATCCCTAAGGAACTTAATGCGTCATTGTTTTCGGCTGTTAATAAATTTTTTTTTTCTAATTCTGCCAATAATGAATTCAAAGAAATTATTCGTCTTTTTAGTCTTCTGTTGGAATCGCTTATCTTTTTTATTTTCTTGTTTTTTGTCTTTACTACGTTGGTTAATTCGATGATTCTTCTACAAAGACGTTTTTTAATTGGAGTATCAAATGCAGATGGCGTATCAGGTATAGATGAAAATTTCCTTCTTTGTTTTGTAGGCGTAACTAAGCAATGGCTCTGGTTTTTAGGTGTTGGCGGGGTTTTTGCCAGCGGTGAACGAGCAATCTGAAATACGTATTCGGTTCTTTTATAACATTAACATTTAGGTACTCATTATACGATTACCTACTTATTTATACAAATTAAAATTATATCACTAATGTTTATTATAATCATACCGCTTTTTCAGACGATGTGCCAGCCACTGGAATTTCCTTATTTTTAGCTACAATATCTGCAGTTACACTTATCGTAGAGGCGGGTGCCTAAAAGTAGTATTATTAATTAAAATACCATACGTTTTTAAATTTAGATGTAATTATAATAGTAATAAGATATTATTGAAGTTCATGTTACACTAGAATAGTAAGTCAAAACAATAGTTCCATTTCATTGAAATTAAATACTTTTTTTACGGGTTATTACTTTTACGTGTTTTATTATTTATAAATCCGTTAAACATAGTTTAATTTCGACGTATCATGTTTCACTTAATCTCTTACTGCTATTATTGTGTAATCTACATTGGTACTAATCTTTAAAAAAAATTAAAAGTCCATACCAAAACTGGCAAGTATAAAGATGGTAAAGCGGAATCCAACAGCCTTCTACGGTTTTTCATATAATGAAAATTATCTTCTGTGAAGTGTCTTGAACACATCACACTATATTTAGTGGGAAACCAATCGTCCCCTCGACAAGTTGCATCGATCCACATCTTCTTCCTTTCGGCGCATTTAGGAAACCTATTACATATAGCAGAATGATACGCCACTATTTTTTACTAAATAAAATGACTTCAATAAACAAAATTCAAACGATGACCAAACAAATATCGACTTATAAATTACAACACTATCGATACACGTGCTGTTATAGACAAAGACAACTATTGTAATTTACGTAATGAGTGAAAGGGACATTTCAAAAAGACATCAACGGGTGCCTTATTGTTATTAGTTTGCACCATTATGTTACCAGTTTAAGTTGACCTCCAGTGCATTTGAAATAGGTTAGCGTAATAAGAATAGAATTTACTTACCGATGGAATGTAATGCCATCTTTATGATAACTGGATGTCTTAGCTGACTTGCCACACCATTTCACTGCACAGTAAGCCATTTTTAATGTATTTTGAGGTGGTAAGCTATTTTTAAATTGTCAAAAACTCGGACGTGCCTACGTGCGTACAGGTCATAAACTTGGTCGTCACTGAAGTCGTAATTCTTAGCGTCACTTAATTTAATAGCTATAGTTAATAAGTGTTGCGCGTCTTTGTGGCCCTGTATGCGGTATCTATTAGGGGGTAATCTGTGTGCTCATCACACAATTATTTGTGCTGGGTGGGAATCGAACCCACGACTTCCGGCTTAGTAGTAAGGGTCACTCACCACTAGACCAACAGGCCAATTATACTATAGTCTACTTTTAATTGCTGTACACTTTAGATAACATTGTTTTTCACTAATCTACATAAAATGTCCTTACTTTATGATCACATAAGTATATTTTCACTTGAACGATATCAAGTCTTTTGCATAAACAAGATAAGCCTCGTTTCTTTTATTGTTATTCGACGATATTTGAACAAAGACCCATACACTACCATAAAAAAATTCTTTGTCTTTATCCATAAGAAGTGATAAGATATATCTGACCAAACTGGGTCTTTTAAGAGTTCATATAAACATTTGATAATTCTATTTTATAGCACTGATATAAATTTTCGTATGCTTGTAGTTCCTTTATCAAGTAAGTCATTGTACTTCAAGATAACTACAGTTTGTAGTTAAAGAATCTAATTTTGTAACAAACAAGTGTTAATATCGCTCAACAATATTTTTTTCCTTGTTAAAAAGTCACCTATTCCAGACAAATATCCATCTCAGTGTCAAATTTTATCCAAATCCATTCATCTGTTCTGGCGTAATTGTGTTAAAGATATCCATATATCCATCCATCGATCGATTTTTGACGACTGGATGGTGTAGTGGTTTGTGTAACGGACTGCTATTCCAAAGGTCGCGGGTTCGATTCCCGCTCAGGTCAAACATTTGTGTGCATGGACATTTGATGTTTGATTTGGTCTGGGTGTTTCTATGTATAATATGTATGTATTTACAAATAAAAAAAGTATATATGTATTTATATCAGTTGTCTAGTAGCCATAGTACAAGCTCTGCTTAGTTTGGGACTAGATGGCGTTGTGTGTATGTGGTAGAATATATTATTATTATTTAGGGAAAAGGACTCAAAGTGCGGCAACGAATTTGTCACTCTTGAATTAAATGTGACGGATTAAGAATACGTATCGTAAGAGAGCCGACTAAGGGAGCAAACTACGCAGTACAACAGCACTGCAAAAGATAAGGAAAACGTGATACAAACCCTATACCAAACCGTTTGGCGAGCGTTTTATAGTAGGCCAAAACCTCCTTTCTAAGGAGAGGTTTATGTCCAGCAGTGGACCATTAAAGGCTGTTGATGATGATAATTAATTAAAAGTGTCTATGGGCGGCTATAGTCATGCCATGAGGTGACTAGTCATGCTATAAAAAACATTAATTAGCCATAATAACAACACAAAAATATTTACCATTCGTTTTGTTATTCCAGCATTCCATACACAGCAATCCACCGAGCACAGCCATTCCGACGCAACTTCCAAATGTCGTATGTAACAGACGAGGGTAACGAAGCTCCTCTGCACGTCAAGATGGCCACCTCCGGACAAGCAGCCGCATTGTACCGCGCTGTCACTGAGAAACACGCATTCTACTGCTGCGAGACTGTCAGGAGTGATGTCACTGAACAGTTCATCAGGGATTTGAAGGTAATTATTTTGAAGTGATAACTTCTTATGGGGGGGTAAACCGCTTCGTTACGTAACGCGTTACGGCGCCAGTCTGTCTGGCTTCCCTTTCTCTCACGCATACGGCAGCGGTAGGCAGGCTCCTCCTCTCTCAGTCTAACCCACAGCGCTACCCGTATTTCGGACAGACCCTTTACATAAAATCCAAGTAATAAACTAAGCTTTTCAAAGCGTTTTTCAAATACCGTTGACTTGTGATGAATTCCTGAGTATAACGCACAAGACGATCCCTGTTACTTTTAAAAGAAATTGAATTGTAATCTATACTTAATATTATAAAGCTGAAGCGTTTGTTTGTTTAAACGCGCTAATCTCAGAAACTACTGGTTCGAATTGAAAAATTATTTTAGTATGTATATAACATCAGTCTACCAACAACAACAACAATTGAAAATGTTACAAAAACGACGAAAATTGTTTCATTTTGAGATGTGAAATAAACTCAAACCCTTGATGAACTGTCAGCTTGTATGCTCCATATGCCATAAAAAAAGTTCTAATTTCGCCTTAAGCAATCTGCAGTAGCTATACTATATTTAAAGCTAATTATATCCAAGGGAAAATATACCGTTCTGCAATCAACATGCGGTGTGTCACGTAGCAGTATCTCTGTTTGTAACCTCGAGAATTGAAGCCGTGACATATTATTACTTTGTCATATATAACTTATATATGTATAGACGTCTATCATTAATTTATATAGTACATTAAAAATAAATATAGTGTCCGTAGGGTTGTCATGAGTTGAATTCTAATGATTCATTCACACATTCATGATGATGTTGATACACACATGCATGCCAACAAGGGGTCACACATAAACTACGTCATACTTTTTCGATTTTTTTACTTTTAATTGTGCTTTAATACTTTGACATATGCGTCACGAAGCTTATGACCCCATACGGTTCAGTGACACCCTGCACTTAACATGTGACGTAATTTAATGATGGCCCTGTAATGTAAACCTATTATTTGGTATTCTCTTTTGAAAATGATGTCATTTGAATATGTACAGCAGAAGTAAAGTAAAATACAAATTGTTAATATATTTAAACGGCGAATATGTAATACGAAATGTATATGAAATACCTTGTCAGTGGTACGAAGTACTATTATTAGAGAAATTAAACCTAACCCAGAATGATTTTGCAAAAGTATGAGCGAAAAAACAAGTTATTTACCATTCACATACATGTAAACGCATTATAATATACTGACAGGAATTCACACACATTTAAACCTGACCAGAAGGCCGACTCTCGTAATAAAAGTTCAGTCAAACAAAATTCAGTTCCGATCAACTCTCGAACTCGTAACTGTCATAAAAGGTATTTTCGTAGTAAAATAGTAAAGTATTACTAAGACTAGCAGATTAACGATTCAATTTTCGGTCACAATACGATATAATCACATTACAGTCAACGTTGGGTGTTTAATACTTGTCTACGAAAATACAGTTTATGACAGTTGTGATCGAGAGTTGATCGACACTGAATTGTGACCGAACTTTTATTTCGAGAATTGGCCTTCAGGTCCGAATTGAACTTTGAACGAATTTTGATTCTGAGAATTGACCTTCCGTCGCGTTTTGTGTTACATTGAACCGGCCATGAATGAAACAACAGTTTGGCAGTATTAGTATTTTTACTTGAATATCTTTACCGTTAGGATAACTTACAGACCACAGGTCTTACATTACAACTTACAATCGAACTTAATATAAAAAAAACATAAGTTTCCAAAACAATGTAAGGCAAGTTTTATATTTAAAAGAAATATGAAAATGCACAATTTTTAAGAAATTTGACGCTAGGGCCTTCAGGTATATCTTTTGCCGTGGGTACGTTTCTGTGTAACCGCTAAACGATAAGGTAAATAATGTGCAGAAGAAGCCATGGACTTTGTACCGGCTGTTTAATATTTAATGTACCGACGCGGGGGCGTGGCGGTGACCTTATGTATAGAATTTGTTACCTATCACTATGATGAATTATACACGTGTTTGTGTTTAAGTAAGATGGCCGATGTTCGTCGGCCATTTTGTGTAGAAAGTATTCTTAAGTAATAACTTAACCGTCGGAGAGAGGCTAGAGGCCCAAACGTCTATTCTTCAATTCAGGATAATGCGTTTTGTGAAAATTTAGCAATGCAATCTTTAAAAAGAAGAATGCATTGAGCAGTGGCGGGATAATTTAAAGTGAACGATGTATTAGCTGTCCCTTTCTTACTCATAGTTTTTGCTTTAAGGGATTTTCAATAGTAATAGTTAACTATAATGATTCTGGGGAGAGAACTCACTTGGACCTCCTGGGCCTCAATTCTGCTACTTAATGTTCACGCCAAGCCACTGTCATACCACTGACACGCTATTGAGGTGCCATTGGCGTCGGTATAAATATCGGTACTCTACACTAATTCAGTGTCTTTACAGTGGCGATGGAACGGCAGTGGCTCATCAGTGGTGGTACCAAAGATTGCCATATTTGGGAAAATAAATAAATCATTTCCTCAAATAACTTTTACATATTTTCAAATTACTATAACGAATCGAGGCTCTGAGGTGCAGCCGGTAGTAAGAAGTCGGTCTAAAGGATGTCTATCATCTTCCGCAGGGAACGATAGCGTCCATCTTCAACGACTCGACGACGCTGGGGCGACGCTACGTGTTCGACATCCGACGCACGTGCCGCGAGGTGCACGACCGCGCGCGCCGCGCCCGCCACGCCGCCGACCGACAGCGCCGCGCCGACCGCGACGGGACTGAACACAAGGTGAGCACGCGCACACCACATCTGAACACCGTTATGTTCTAGTTCTACATTGCAACTATAAAAAAAGATAAAAGAAAACAAAAAAAAAGGAATTACATCATCCGTGTGGTGGCGGATTAGGAATATGGAGTGTCACCACCCTTATTGATCCCGTGGATGTCGTAAGAGTTGACTAAGGGAACAAACTAAGCAAGACAACAGCACTGCAAAAAGAAGGAAAACTTGAAACAAACCCTATACCAATCCGTCTGGCCAGCGTGGTATAGTAGGCCAAAACCTCCTTTCTAAGAAGAAGCCTATGTCGTGCAGTGGACTACTAAAGACTGTTGATGATGATGATTGTTCCAGTACAATTTTCACCACCTTATTTATCATACACCCACGGCTTTTAACCCCCAAGGGGATACGCAGACGTTATAATCCCGTTAACCTAACTTCAAGCCACCTTAGTTAGCCGTTAATTTGGTGAATATTTTTATAACTACATACTTAAAAATGCAATACATTTCAATTTTAATTTTACAATATCGTTAAATTATTAAATTTCTTTAAAAAAAAGCTCATTTTATTTTAATCTAAACCAAACAAGTAATAATTCGACAAATTTGTTCAATCCATAATCTAATCGTAGCTAATTAAGTCAGCACGCCGATTCTTCCTATCACGTACAAACCCACATGACGACAATGATCAATATTTATAATTAGACTCAATAAATATTTACACAGCGTTAACTTATTATCTGTATTGTGTTATTCAACTTTTTGAACAAACACTAAAAGTTCTAATTAACACGAATATAACCTGTGTATTGCATTTTGTTATAACCTAACCGTCACTAGTTGGTCACTAGCTACCATCATTATTTTGATAGGTTAAAAAATCTAGTGTAGTATGTGTACTTGCTAACAGGACTAATTCCTCCCACACGCCCACCACTGTAACTCTTGTACACCAGGAACAACAGCAGTGACCCACGAATACACCGAGCGCCACTCGTAGGTTGGGTACTGTCCTTAACGCGTTAAGGAACGTTTTTACATTTCTTAGTTTATACTAAAAACCTAACCTTTAGTGTTATTGAAGTTTATACACTTGACTTTATCATTATAATAATAATATTTTCTGACTTTTTATACACGGCCGTCTGATCCCAAACTAGGCAGAGTTTGTACTATGGTAACCAGACAGTAAGCATACTTATATATTTCTAAATACATACCATGTGGGAATTCAACCCACGACCTCTGGCGTAGCAGCTAGGGTCACCAACCAGTAGACCAACGAGCCAGTCATTAAAACGGCTGTTTGTCTTTCCAGGGGTCTCGATCACGCTCGTCGTCGAGCGGGTGCGGCGCGGGCGAGTCGCTGGCGTGCCGCGCGTGCATGGACGCCGCCATCGACACGCTGTTCCTGCCCTGCCGCCACGTCGTGTGCTGCGGGGACTGCGCGCACAGGTACTGCACTAAACGACCCTCTTTGTTTCGCTATCTAGGTTATATCGATCTGAACTGAACGCTTGACCGCAGAAAGTTTGTAAATTATAATATTTGTTGACAATTAAAATCGCACAGCATTGCATAATAATATTCATAACTAAAAATACTCAACACAGTAAAATTCCTTTTTTGTTATATTCCTTTATACAGAAATAAAAAAAAATCTTCTTTCCACTTCTCCAGATGTACCCGTTGTCCTCTATGTCGCGGCGAAATCGAAAAACTGATGCTAATATTCCTGCCCGTGGAGTACCAACGGAGCCCCGGCCTCGTCAAATGAATGCCGCTACCCTCGCGACTCGGAAACTAAATGACGATGATTTTCTGATGAAATGATTCCGCCCTGATGATATGAACAGGTGTGATGTGCTTCGACACGTCGGGCCACCGTCGGCCGGCGTGCGGAGGGTTGAGTGTGTTGTGTGATCGTCTAGTCACCGATTGACTTCGACTAATGCATTTCAGCGGAACATCGCGTTCCGAACGTATTTACCGGTACTTACTTCTTAGATTTTAATTATCAGATATGTTTATTGGCTAAATCTAAGTTGTTATAAAGAAAAAAAATAAAGTACCCTCTAAAAAAAACCTTCGTTTTAGAAGGCCCTAGCGTCAATATTATGTGATAATGTATTTTGTAAAATTTCTTAAAAAATGTGCATTTTCATATTTCTTTTAAATATAAAACTTGCCTTACATTGTTTTGGAAACTTATGTTTTTTTTTAATATTAAGTTCGATTGTAAGTTGTAATGTAAGACCTATGGTCTGTAAGTTATCCTAACGGTAAAGATATTCAAGTAAAAATACTAATACTGCCAAACTGTTGTTTCATTCATGGCCGGTTTAATGTAACACAAAACGCGACGGAAGGTCAATTTTCAGAATCAAAATCGTTCAAAGTTCAGTTCGAATTGAAGGCCAATTCTCGTAATAATAGTTCCGTCTCAATTCAGATCCGATCAACTTTCGATCTCACAACTATCATAAAAGGTATTTTCGTAGTAAATTATGGCCTTCTACTCTAAACCTCACAACTTTCATAAAAGGGAATCTCGTAGTGAAGTATTAAAGTATTGTGACCGAAAGTAGAATCGGTATTTTGAAGTCATTTGAATCTGATAAATTTTTCTTACAATAATATTGTCCTTCTGAATGACAAAAAAAACGACGGGTTGCACTCCGGGAGTGCTGGCAGAAGTGAAAACTTGAATATTAACGTTGTGCATTTTTGATATTTGGAATGGTTAGTGAAAAATTTTGCTTTAATTATCAGTATATAAGTACTATCATTTATGTGGTAGAATACAATATTTATGTGTACAACGCCGCTAAAGAAGTTTTCACTTCAAAACCTTAAATCAGTGCAGAAAATAAAAGAGAAGTTTTTGAATTGCTATCTCGTTTTACAAGCTAGATACCTACAGTTCTGTGTTATCACTTCGACTGCAGATCAGTTACACATCCTTGACTCGTGAACGATCTCTAAAAGGGATAATAGGAAAATGGTACCTCCAAAACCATGACTACAATCATGTTTTTTAAGCCGTTGCCATACTGATGGTGAATAGTACACGACATTTAAAGTATACAAGATTTTAAATGAGTAAACGTATGTCTACCATAGATAAGTACATAGAAGCGTCGTTTATCCGATCGACCGCTAATCAGTATTTTATGTAACAAGTCACGGCGTAGCATTTGTGCATCTCTATTTACCAAGAGAAAAACTTTCTGCGTATCCATCAGCAGCTGTTACTGAGCAACAAATTGAAGGAAGGAAATTATACCCTCGAAAACGTTAACAGTGCAGACGAAAGATTTGTTTGTTATTAAAAACATACATCTTTTAGCGTTGCCGCTGTTCGACTATGGAATGCCTTAAGGCGTGCAATACGCAATAGCCCTTCTCTTAGCGTGTTCAGGAGGAGAACCAGGGATTATTATGTGTCCCTTCAATAATCAGACCCTTGGTATGTATGTATGTGTATATATATATATATATATATATACATATATGTATATATATGTTTGTAAACGTATAATATATTTTGCTATCCTAATTTATGTCGGTATTTGTTTAATTTTTATGCTTTTATGTGTTGATTCCTACGTACGAATGACTGTGCCCTTACGTTTCTCTGTTGTCCTCTATTCGCTCAAGGTTTGCTGGAAGAAAACTCAGTTTTGGGTTAAGCTCGCATTTGTACATGACAATTCCTTGTTACTTATATATATGTATGTGTTCAGTGTGTACAATAAAGAATAAATAGAAATAAATAGAAATCTATTTAAAAGCTGAAGAGGTTTTTGGGCACGAATTGAAAAATGATTGATATCCCATTAGTCGAGGAAGGCTATAAGCTGTAAAACATCACGCTGCGACCAATAGGAACCGAGCATCAATACAAAATGATACAAAAACGGAGAAAATCTTAAGACACATGCAGACGAAGTTGCAATGCTAGTATGTACATAAATATGGTTTTCATTCACCTGTACATAAAGTATGACTGAATCAAAAAATCGATTCTCAGAACACTCATGTTCCACAATTTGTTTGGATAATCGACGTTCTAATGTAGGTACTTTTGAAACTAGGTAATACATATGCATGCTTAGCACAACGTGACATAATTATTACTACATGTCCAACTAAAAACCCGAGGTAGGCATATAAACGAACATAACCAACAAAAGTAGGTATTTATGAAAGAATCGTTTTGAATTATTTGAGCCGTTTTAGTCAATAAGTAAATACTTGACACGTTACAAAGATTATATTGATTAGAATTAATTGTTTATTTATCAAGTTCACCAACGTCTGTTTACACTTTCAGAAATACAAAACACATACTACAAAAATACAAATAAAAAAAGCGTAGCAGATACCGGTAAACACCTCATGTTAAAGTTTTTGTTCGATATACATAAGTTAACTGTTTTTAACCCCCGAAGCAAAAGCGTTATAAGTTTGACGTGTCTGTGTGTGTGTGTCTGTGTGTATGTCTCTGGCATCGTAGCTCCCGAAGGGATGAACCGATTTTGATTTCGTTTTTCTGCTTGAAAGTTGAATTAGTCGGGAGTGTGTTTAGCTATGTTTGATGAAAATCGGTCCAAGATGGCCGGACGTATTTTTTCACAAGTCCCTCAATATGGGTATCAAATGAAAGAGCTTGACTAGTAGAATAATATACACTATGACAAATTTTAAATCCAAGATATGGGGTTAATAATATTAAATTTAATTTTAAATAAGATACTGGCTGTACTAAGCCACGCTTCGCTGTGACATATTGTGGTTGCATTGATGAAATATGTACGTAACGTGAATAAAACGTCCTAAAATTATGTTTTTTTCAGCTGGGTTGATTGTTTCGGATGTAGGTAGTTTCAAATGTATCATTTTGTACTATCGTTTGTTAGGAGAGTTGCCCTGTAAATGAATAGATCTGAAAAAAACAGTTAAGATTTCCAATCCTATTTTGTTAGTCAATTTTCTTAATATTTTTTAAGTAGTTTGGATGACTCTCGTACTTTGATTCTTTTGGAATTGTATGCAAACTGTAGCAAAAGACCACAGGTCCAGTATATTGCTTAACCATATAATAATAATATTTATTTATTTGACCAATATAATATGTTACAGTGTAGGACATTTTTATTTAAAATATATTTTAAACAGTAGTTACGTTAATCCGTAATACTAGTGTAAAACTAAGGTAATATTTAATTTATATAGATTATGCATCAGCTATCTACTTACTCTCTTGGCTCTTACTGGCTCTGCCTAGTTTAGGATCAGACTACCGTTTATTAGATGTGTGAAGTTATTATGATAATAGTCATAGTAATATGTATATATTTATTTATATAACGTAATGCACAAGTTGTACACAGTCGGACTTAATGTTCAGGGCATTCTCTGCCAGTCGACCTTCGGATGATGCGGTAGGAGCAAGAGAAAACAGAGAATTTAACTTTATTTATATTAAATTTACTCATTTAAGATAAATCTAACTTATATATATATACACTATATACTATAAATAAAATACTATATTTATTACTACATCTATAAATAGAGGTTCCAAGCATACACATACAGCACATAAACATGTGTATGTTTATGTGCTGTATGTGTTTATGTACTGCCAATTGTAAAGTTAAAATTGAAATGTATTGCATTTTTTAAGTAGGTAGTTATAAAAATATTCACCAAATTAACGGCTAACTAAGGTGGCTTGAAGTTAGGTTAACGGGATTAAAACGTCTGCGTATCCCCTTGGGGGTTAAAAGCCGTGGGTGTATGATAAATAAGGTGGTGAAAATGGTACTGGAACAATCATCATCATCAACAGCCTTTAGTAAGTAGTCCACTGCACGACATAGGCTTCTTCTTAAAAAGGAGGTTTTTGTCTACTATACAACGCTGGCCAGACGGTTTGGTATAGGGTTTGTGTCAAGTTTTCCTTCTCTTTGCAGTGTTGTTGTCCTGCTTAGTTTGCAGTAGTAGTAAATACATAAATATCAAAATACATAGTCGGGTACTTGCGTTGTGAGCTTTCTACCAACTTATTTACTTATATATACTATACATACCAGTCTCGTATATTTTAATGTAAACTCACCTTTTTTTACATTATCATAAGGCAGACGGGCAGGGTATGTTTTTGAAATTAAGGCCGCTTACATAGTAATAAATAAATCCGTTGTTACGGATGTTTCCTTATCTGTACTAATATGATAAAGCTGAAGAGTTTGTTTGTTTGTTGGTTTGAACGCGCTAATCTCAGGAACTACTGGTCCGATTTGAAAAATTATTTCAGTTTTAGATAGCCCATTTATCGAGGAAGGCTATAGGCTATATATCATCACGCTAAGACCAATAGGAGCGGAGCATCAATGAAGAATGTTTCAAAAACGGAGAAAATTTATTACTATTGAGAGACGCAGACGAAGTTGCGCGGGTCAGCTAGTAATATTATAATTCTGAATAAGGCAGTACTGGCAAGCTGAATTTCAACATTTTCTCATAAGATATGTGGCAACAACACGTTGTCACGTGGTCTATTTTTAAATTTAAAAATTGTAAATAAAATAATTATCAGCCCCATGCTAGACCATCGTATGGACAAAAACTTATCGACTGCCATAATCTTTAAGTTGCGTATTTACTTAGTTGAAAATACGCATGCTGTGGTCTCCTGTAATTGAAAGAGTACACATAACAAATACCCTTATGAAAAGTATTTTTGATATTTTGTGTACATCCTTTGTT